TTGAAACCTAGGTTGCATCACTCTTTTGCAGTAGAGATAGCAACACACCTAGCAAAATAGTAGTTGCACATTTAGATAGATTACTTTCCTGCATAGGTTTTGACTAGGTGAAATTAGATGCCTTGTTTTAGAGTAGATTTTTAAGTTGCCTAATTCACCTCCCTCTTAGGCGTCACGGTCCTTTACAAGTGGTATCAGAGCTGGTTGGCTCAATTTGGATCTTTGGCTTCACCGCCGTTGAGACGCTATTTAGAGTGGTTGGGATGGATACCTCTAGGCCTCCGCACTTTGACGGCACTAACTTTCCCTACTATAAAGCTAGAATGTATTGTCACCTTGAGGCGGTAGATTTGGGTGTTTTGAGAGTCACTCATGACGGGATGAAACCCATTAAGAATCCTGATAAACCCACAAAGAGTGAAGAAAAAGAAATTCATTTCAATGCTAGAGCTAAAAATTGCTTGTTTAAATCTTTTAGCATGTATGTGTTTAACCAAGTGTTCACTTTAAATATGGCACATAAAATTTGGTTAAAACTCCAAGAACTCCATGACGGCACAACTAATGTCCGTGAGCAAAAACATGTCTAGCTAAACAAAATTATGATTCCTTTAAAATGAATGATGATGAGCTTGTTCATGATATGTATTCTCGTTTGAATCTAATTATAAATAAGCTCCATTCAATAGGATTAACGAAGCTAGATGATACGGACATCGTGAGTTAGATCATCTCTGTGCTACCACAAAAGAAATGTACAAGCATCATCACCATCCTTCACAACATGGAGGACTTGAGCACCATGACCCCGGCCATAGTCATTGGCAAGATAGTGACATTTGAATTGTCACGGAAGATGGGTCAAGAAGAAGCCTCATCATCAAGCAAAGGCAAAGCTCTTGCATGTAATGAGAAAAGGAAGATGAAGGGCAAGCAAGTTGAGACAAGCTCAAGCTCAAGCTCCTCAAGTGAAGAAGAAGAAGATGAGGATGATGATGATGAAGAATCAAGTTATGATGATCAATCTTCCTCCTCCACCTCCGACCTTAATGAAGAATCAATCAAACTTATCAACAAGGTGGAGAGGATGATCCAAAGGCTCAATGTCAAGGGTGTGCCAATCCAAATTCAAGATTTTATTTTTACCAATCAAAGAAATGAGCAAAGGAAGAAAGGATGCTATGGATGCCGTGAGTTGGGGCACTTTGTGGAAGTTTGTCCAAACAAGCCCACACCCAAGACAAAGAAGAAGACGTACAAGGACAAAGCCCTCACATCAATAAGGTCATGGGATGATTCTTCAAGTGAAGAAGAAGACCATCACAAGAGGCGAGGGTACAAGCACTCATCATCAAGCACTTCACGAATATTCCTTACGTCACGAGATACATGCACACAAGAGGTCACAATAGAGAATGAGCAACTCAAGCAAGAAGTGGCTCGTCTTACCAAGGACTTGACTCAAATAAAAGGTGAAACAGAGCAAGCCCAACTTCATCAAGATAACACCGTCAAGGGAGTGAAGAAGCTTGATAAAGAACAAACCATGGTTTGCTATGTATGCCACAAGGAAGGCCATAAGTCCTATGAATGCAAGGTGAAGAATGGGGGAGGAGCTAAGAAGAAAGAGAAAAACAAAAAGAAAACAAGCAAGCTCTCCAACACCTACACCAACAAGGTGGACAATAAAGCCTCCACACCTTATCTCTTGAAGAAGAAGAAGAAAAATGACAAGATGATGGCCATCAAGGTGAATAAGCAAGCCAACAATGGGGTCAAACGCATTTGGATGCCAAAGAAGATCATTTTTCTAACATGAAGAGCACCAAAAAGGTTTGGATCCCAAAAAGAAAGTGAGAAGTCCGATGGACTTTAGAGAATTTGGAGACTTGGCAAAGTATGGGTGCATTTCATGGGGTGCATTATTATGGATAATGTAATTGCCAAGTGGGTTAGTGAATACTATAGACCCAAATTCCTCTTCCCATGTTATGTAACTAGATTTAATTTCTTACAATTTCAATTAGCATCTAGTTCCTTTTCATGCATAGGTTTGCATTTACATGTTTAATCTTTTGTCTTGCATACACTAGGTATATCTTATGGTAGGCTTGCTCGATTTCACTCTTAACCCTTGGAGCAAACCTACATGGTTTAAATTGTTTAGGAGAACGGCGCATAACTTGTTTTACAATTATTTATCTAATATGTGCCAAAGTCCAAATTGCAGATAATTTGCCCCGATTATCACTTTTGAAAATGATTCTCACATTCATGTGATATCATTTTTCAAGTGGTATCTTTCATTCTAAAATTAATGTGCATGTCTCCTACAAGCATTTCATGCTTGTATGCACAAATTTAGGGAGAGGTTACTCTACAAGTTGGATACTTTGAGACTAACACTATTGCAAGCTTATCATATGTGTAGTAGTCTCATTGTAAGGAAAATAGAGTTTCCGGAGTTAAGCATCATGCTTCATAAATCCACCACATATTACAAGTGATGACAATCAAATTGATTTCTACATGTGGTATTTTTAAACCGATATCGTCATGTTGATTTTAATATGATATTTATATGCTTTCTTCATGCATTATATAGATTAAACTCCCTTGAGCAATAATTTACCAATTATGCATATGTTTTGCCTTCCACCATATGTATGCATATTTTTAGGGGGAGCTTAGTCTATGTAATGTGAGAGTCAAGTTTTATGATCTATTCCACTCCACATTCAAAGGATCACAAAATTTGACCCTCCCTTGTGCTACTAATATCTTCCTTTTCGGTGTTTGATTCCAAAGGTGGAGAATTTGTAGGACCAAAAGCAAGCCCGATTATAATAATTTACAAGTGAAAATGGTCCGAGAAAGGGAGGATAGTGGATTATGATGTTAGGGGGAGGCTTAAATCCATAATGCCACATGAGGACATTTGCAAGGGTAAGATAAGTTTCCAAAAATGTTTACATGTGGTATCTTTTAGCATCATATAACCTTGCCCTTTGCATTGCATCCTAGCAAGTGGTTAGTTTTTTAATTCTAAAATTTTTATTATTTGCTTGCTTTGGTAGTGTTGTCATCAATCACCAAAAGGGGGAGATTGTAAGGAAAATGGATCCTAGGCCCATTTACTTTGGATTTTGGTGTTTGATGACCAACACAACTAAATTGGACCAATAAATTTGCAAGTAATTGTTTTGTAGTTCAATAGGGTGCAAGACGTGACTTGGACAGAGGTGATATGATAATCCGACGATCAACACCATAAGCAAGACCTTAGAAGCACAAGAGAAGATCCAAGAAACCAAGCAAAGTCCAAGCACAAAGATAGAAACCAAGCCGAACGCAAGATCATGAAGAAACAAATGAAGAAGGGGCTCGGCAGAGACGACCGAACGCTGCCACGAAGGCACCGGACGCTTCCGATCGTTTCCCGTGCAACCACAGTGACATACACGATGACCGGACGCACATGTGATACTGTTCATCATCATGGCAACGTTCTCAGCGTAACCAGACACGACGGCAGGACGAGCGGACGCACCAAGAAATAGCGTTCGATCATGTCCAGAAAGGTTCCAAAGCGGCGCCAGCGTGACCGGACGTGTTTGATTGAGTGAGACCGGACTCGGCCTAGAGTCCGATCTAACGCGCGCGCTCCAACGGTCGGTAGGACAGGACGTGTCCGATCAGGACGTGATCAGCGTCCGGTCACTAGCAGAAAGTTGGGTCTCAGATCCAACGGCTAGTTCTCACTTGTGGGGCTATAAATATGCCTCCAACCGGCCATTTGAGGGTGAGAGAGCTGAGGAAACATACCAAGGGTGTTGATACACCATTTTAGTGATCTCCACTTGCATAGTGATTAGTGATTCATTAGGTGATTAGCGTAGGTTCTTTGCGAAGTGCTTAGGTTGATTAGACCACCGCTTATGCGCTTGCTCTAGGTTTAGGCCTAAGTGTTTAATGAGGTTTGCACACATCTTATCACTCGGTGCTTGCACGCACCATTGTTGTACATCGGAGGGGCTTGTAGTATTGCGAGATCACACCAACCGTGTTTGTGGTGTGGCCGCCACCGTGTACCTAAGGGAACAAGGCCTACGGCGGTTCGGCCGGAAGCTTGATAGTGAAGACTGCGGGGAGCAGTCCGGGAGAGGCTTGCCGGAAGGCACACCGGAGACCCACTTGTGCATGGGGAAGGCCCGGTGCTATCCACGGAGTTACCCAACCGGGAGCTTGGCCCTTGCGAGGGATTCCTTGAGAGGGGCTCCAACGAGGACTAGGGGGAAGCTTGAGCGCTTCTCGATACCTCGGTAAAAATACCGGAGTCATCGACGGGAGTTTGCACCTCTACCTCAACTTTACCTTCCACATTTACATTGCTACCTTGGTTGTGTGCTTTACTTCCCTAGCTTAGTTGATAGACTAGTTGATATGATTGGAACCTAGGTTGCATCACTCTTTTGCGGTAGAGATAGCAACACACCTAGCAAAACCGTAGTTGCATATTTTGATAGATTACTTTCCTGCATAGGTTTTGACTAGGTGAAATTAGAGGCCTTAATTTAGAGTAGATTTTTAAGTTGCCTAATTCACTCCTTCTTAGATGTCACGGTCCCTTACAATAGTTTCTCTAATGTAGTGAGTAGTTGATGACTTTTTCCTACGTGTAACCTGGTGTTGGTTGTGGGTTGTTGGACGAGGAGTTGAGACTTGAGAGATGCCCAATAGGCATGCATCTCATCTGTGCCTATGGTGTGAAGCCACGCCCTCTGACTCTTTCTTCTTCTCCTTATTCCACGTGGTCAATGCAAGCCGCACTTGCGATTGCCTGCCGTCCGACGCCAGTATACAAACTGGCCGAGTCTGGCACACTGCCACACTGGTGCATGCATCGTCGTGCATGTTCTAGCTAGCTGCCTCTCGATTGATCGCCGCCCTCTCATCATAATCATAAGTCATAAGTATATGTAGCAAGAAGCAAAACTACAATGGCGGATTATCTTGGCGACGAGGCGGTGCCGGTGGTGTGCGACAACGGGACGGGCATGGTGAAGGCCGGGTTTGCCGGCGACAACACACCGCGGGCGGTGTTCCCGAGCATGGTGGGTCGTCCGCGTCACAGGGGCGCGATGGTGGGGACTGGGGATGGGCCACAGGGAGGAGTATGTGGGCTAGGAGGCGCAATCGAAGCGCGGCGTGCTGACGCTGTGGTACCCGATCCAGCACGACGTGGTCACCGACTGGGACAACATGGAGCTCATCTGGCGGCACGCCTTCTAGAACGAGCTGTGCGTGGCGGCAGAGGAGCACTCGGTCCTCCTCACCGAGGCGGCGCTCAACCCCAAGGCCAACCGCTAGCGGATGATGCACATCATGTTCGAGACCTTCGGCGTGCCAGCCATGCATGTCTCCATCTAGGCCGTGCTGTCGCTCTACGCCAGTGGGCGGACCACTGGCATGGTGCTCGACTCCGGCAACAGCGTCACGCACACCGTGTTGGCCCACAGTTAGCCTCCCGACCACTACAGATAGCCTCCAGACCATCGAGATGGCCTCCAGATCACTACAGATAGCCTCCAGACCACCAAGATGGCCTCCAGAGCACTACAGATAGCCTCTAGACCATCGAGATGGCCTCCAGACCACTCCATTGGTCTCACAGGATCACCGGCTCACGACAGTGAACCACTCTAGCCGATCTTGCCGAGCACCGGCTCAGGCGAGTGGAGCACTTGACGGTCTTGCTGAGCATGCGCTAGTGTTGCCGAGCACCCACTAGCCATGCAGACCACGTACCGGCATTGTCCATACCCACACACTACGGACGGAGTTGGGAGAAGAAGGGAGAATAGAGCAAGCACGCACAATACAAGACAACAGCATTGGCCGATGCTCTGTCTGTGTGATGGCAAATCTGAGCTCTCTTTACTGAGTTGCCATACATGTCTATTTATACAACTCTAACTATCTAGTCCATGTGCAGCGCCCATGCTGGCACAGTAACTAGATAACCTGACAGGGCTGACTCTACGCCGGCCACTGCCTGTTCCTACAGTGCTACAGGTGAGCCGTGCGGCGCCTGCACCTGCAGCGGCTACAGTATCACAGCAGGGGGCAAAGTCGGCGCCGCCTTCCCTTGCTGTGTTCACACACAGCAGGCGGCTAAGTCGGTGCCGCCTTCCTCTGCTGTGTTCATACAAGGTGGCAGTAGATTAGCTAATAATCTTCCCCTAATCCTACTACTAACCCTTGTACCCCCTCCATGCCGATCATCTCCTTCAGCTTCGTGAGTCGAAGTCATCCGAGCGGCTTGGTGAGGACGTCCGCGAGCTGCCGAGCAGTTTCGACGAACTCGATGACGATTTGCCCTCCATCAACACAATCCCTGAGGAAGTGGAACTTTACGTTGATGTGTTTACTCCGGTCATGCAGAACCGGATTCTTCGTGAGGGCGATGGCGGGCTGGTTGTCCACCATCAGTGCTGGTGGGTGAGCTTCCATGCCGGTCAGCTCGCCCAGCAGCCGGCGTAGCCACACAACTTGGCACGCCGCTGTGGACGCCACTACGTACTCTGCCTCGCACGTAGATAGCGCCACCATCTTCTGTTTTAGCGACAGCCATAAAATTAGGGTTGACCCGAGGAAGACGAGCACGCCAGAGGTGCTCCGTCGTCCATCGATGTCCCCCGCCATGTCTGCATCGCTGAATACCGTGAGCTGCAGCCTACTTCCCCCGGTCTTCGGGAAGATGATTCCATGATTCACCGTCCCCTTGACGTAGCGTAGCAGCCGTTTCACTGCAGCCCAGTGATCCTCTCTGGGATCCTCCATGAAGCGACTGACGTAGCCCACGGTGAACGCAATGTCTGGCCTCATGTGGACTAGATAGCGTAGACCATCGACGATGCTCCAGTAGAGTGTTGCATCCACTTTCACCGTGGTGCTGTCCTTCGTCAGCTTCAGCCGCTCCTCCATCGGAGTCACGCATGGCTTGCACTCTACCATGCCGCTCCTCTCCAATAGCTTGGAGGCATACGCGCTTTGCCCGAGCGTGAGTTCCTCCTTCCCCTGTCTCAACTCGATGCCGAGGTAGTAGGAGAGAGCGCCGAGATCGCTCATTCGGAAACGAGCTGCCATCTCTCGCTTGAAGCTGTTGATATCCTCCGTGCGCGCGCCGGTGACGATTAAGTCATCCACATACACGCCGACCACGAGCTCTTCCTTCCCCCATCGTCGCGTGTAGAGCGCATGCTTGGTTGTGCACCTTTGAAACCCAAGCTCGCCCAGCGTGGCGTCAAGCTTGGCGTTCCATGCTCGAGGGGCTTGCCGTAGCCCGTAGAGATCCTTGCGCAGTCGGAGCACCCTGTGCTCCTCTCCCTTGACGGCGAACCCTGGAGGTTGCCTAATGAAGACCGTTTCCGCCAGCTCGCCATTGAGGAAGGCTGATTTAACGTCCAAGTGATGGACGCGCCAGTCCTTTGCTGCCGCCAAAGCAAGTAGCAAACGGACCAACTCCATGCGTGCTACTGGCGCAAAGACCTCCTTGAAGTCGATGCCCTCGCGCTGGACAAAGCCTCGGGCAACGAGGCGCGCCTTGTGCTTGACAATGGCACCGAGGTCGTCCCTTTTGACTTTGTACACCCACTTCAGGCTGATCGGACGGCATCCTGGAGGTGGATCGATGAGCTGCCAAGTCTCGTTTTCCTCGATCGCCTTCATCTCCTCCAGCATCGCTCGTTGCCAGTTTCCATCGCGCTCGGCTAGCGCGAACGTGGGTGGTTCCTCTGCACTGACAAGTAGCAGCTCTGCGTCGTTGAGCAGCCTACCCGCCAGACCTGAGGGACCTGTGCCGCCGACGATGTCATCCAGCCTGTGGAACCTCAACTCCTCACCTTTGTGGTAGGCGTCCACGAACTCAGTGATGTTACTTGGAGGTGAGGCGAACTCGATCGACGTCGACAGAGTCCCTTCTTCCGCTGGAGTGCCCATCAGAGCACCCAGAGTGCTCGGCACTGCTTCTGGACAGCTCGTCATAACTCCTGCAGTGTTCGGCCACATTGTAGGAGTGCCCAGCCTCAGTCTTGGAGTGGTCAGCACCACAGTAAGACGTCTTGGCTCCGCCACGGGAGTGCTCGGTACCTGTCCTGAAGTGGTCGCCACCACTGCAGAACCTCCTGGCTCCACTCCTGGCGTGCTCGGCATCCCTCCAAAAGTGCTCAACACTCCTCCCGAAGTGCTCGGCATCCCTCCTGAAGTGCTCGGCACTGCCTCAGAAGTGCTCGACTCTACCGCCAGAGTGCTCGGCGCTCCTCCCGGAGTGCATGGCACCTGTTCCGCAGCGTCTCCACCACCGTGGATGACCAAGTGCTCGACGACGAAGGTGTTGGCTAAGCCTCCTGCTTCCCCTATGCTCGGACTGTTCCAGTCCCAAGCCGCCTCCTCGTTGAACACAACGTCGCGCGAGACAGTCACCTTGTCTCCACGTGGGTCATAGAGCCGGTACGCCTTGGTACCCTCCGCATAGCCCAGGAATACCATGGGTGTGCTCCTGTCCTCTAGCTTGGTGAGGTTCAGCTTTGTCCTCCTAACATGGCCGATGCAACCAAATGTCCGGAGGAATGACACGTTCGGCTTGCTCCCGTACCAAGCTTCGAAAGGCGTCTTGCCCGTCAGGGCCTTGGTTGGAGTGCGGTTGAGGATGAACACCGCCTCTCCCCAGAACTTCGCCGGCATCCCTTTGGCCTTCATCATGGATCGGGCCAAGCCGAAGACCGTCTGGTTCCGTCGCTCTACCACGCCATTCTGTTGTGGCAAGTACGACGCGGTGTGATGTTGTCCCACACCCTGATCCGCGCAGTACATAGCAAACTCCAGCGAAGTGAATTCACCACCCCGATTAGTCCTCAGTACGCGGAGCTTCTTGCCGCTCTCGGCCTCCGCGTGCGTCTTGAACTTCTTGATCGCCACCGCCGCTTCGTCCTTGGTCGTCAGGAGTTGCAGCCACATGTAGCGACTGCAATCGTCCACGAAGAGGAGGAAGTACCGCCGACCACCGCATGTAGCAGGCGTGATCGGCCCGCAGAGGTCGCCGTGAACTAGCTCGAGAGCTTCCTTCGCGTGATACTTGGACGCCTTTGGGAATGATAGCCTCCTCTGCTTCCCGGCCAGGCAGCTATCACACAGCTCGCCTCCGTGTTTGATGTGGGGTAGCCCTCGGACCATCTTCCCTAGCCGACCAAGCGCGTCGAAGCTAAGATGTCCGAACCGGGCATGCCACATCCACGGTTCCTCGGAGTGCCTTGCCGCCAGGCAAACCGGCTGCTCTACCTTCGGGTCGAGCAGGTACAACCAGTTCAGAGACCTCTTCACCTTGGCGAGAAGTCGCTGCTCCCGGTCTCTGATCCTCATAACGCCGTCCTTGATCAGAACCTCGCTACCGCGCTCATCCAGCTGGCCAATGCTGATGATGCTGGAACACAGCTGCGGGATGTAGTATACATCCGTTAGCGCGTGGTGCTCCCTGTTCTGGCATCTGAAGATGATGGTGCCGCACCCTTGGATAGCCACCCTTGAGCCGTCACCAAACTTCACCGTACCGGTAACATCGCCATCGAGCTTGGAGAAGGAGTCCTTGGAGCCCGTCATGTGGTTACTGGCATCAGAGTCCAGATACCACGACTGCTCCTGATCGGCGCCCACACGCCCGAGATGGACTTGGGCGCGTGGTTCATCGAGGTTGACGGTCTTCAGGGCCTTGCTAGATCCTTCCACCGTTGTCGCCTCTTCCCTCTCCATGGCCTCGACGTCGTACAGTTCACAGAACGTCGCCATAAGGATTGTGGCCTCATCCTCATCATCGGCTTTCGCCAGGTGAGCCTGAGCCTTCTTTTCCTTCTTGTGATTTGGGCACTCCCATGCCCAATGGCCCATCTTCCCGCAACACCGACAGGCGTTGGAGTCGATATGCTTCTTCTCCGAAGAAGCCCTGTCTCGGTGCTTGCCCTTGCCACCGCGACTGGAGGAGGCTGCCTTCCCGGAGTTTCGCCGAGCAGCCCACTCCTCTTCCGTCAGCAGGAGTTTCCCGCTGTCCTTCGTTGCTGTCGCCTACCCCAGGCGCTCGTCCACCGCTCGCAGACGGCCTGCCACATCCTCAATGATGAGGGTGGACAAGTCCAGCATCGTCTCTATGGAGAGAGCGATTTGGATGTACTTTGCCGGCACGGAGTGGAGGAACTTGGAGACCGCCTCCTCTTCGTCGATGGTGACGCCGTGGCTCTTCAGCTTGCTGATGAGCGTCTGCAGGTGGAGGGAGAAGCCCTCCACCGTTTCACCATCCTTGAACTTGAGGTTTGCGTACTCCTGCTTTAGAAGCTGGGCCGTCGCCTTCTTTGCGTGGTCGGAACTGACGCGCATCGCCACAATGGCCTACTACGCCTCCTTAGCTGAGCTTTTCGTCCCCAATGGCTCTCTATACTCCGCCGGTACAGCAGCGAGGATAGCCTCCAACGCTGACATGTCGTCTTCTTCTACGTCGGTGCCCTTGTCAACAGCATTCCAGAGCCGTCGGGCTCTAAGCTTGACCTTCATGGTCACCGACCACTCTCCATAGTTAGTGCGAGTCAGCGTCGGCCAAGTGGTGCCGCTGACCTCCCGCACCGTGCGAACAACTACATCCGGTAGTGGCTGGGCAACCACGATAGTGCCACTGCCGTCGCCCAACTCCGAACCGTCTATCATCGCCATCGGTTAGAATGGCAACGACGCTTGTACGGCTCCGATACCACTTGTTGGCCCACAATTAGCCTCCCGACCACTACAGATAGCCTCCAGACCACCGAGATGGCCTCCAGACCACTACAGATAGCCTCCAGACTACCGAGATGGCCTCCAGACCACTCCGTTGGTCTCACAGGATCACCGGCTCACGACAGTGAACCACTCTAGCCGATCTTGCCAAGCACTAGCTTAGGCGAGTGGAGCACTTGACGGTCTCGCCGAGCACGCGCTACTGTTGCCGAGCACCCACTAGCCGTGCAGACCACGTACCGGCGTTGTCCGTACCCACACACTACGGACGGAGTTGGGAGAAGAAGGGAGAACAGAGCAAGCACGCACAATACAAGACAACAGCGTTGGCCGAGGCCCTGTCTGTGTGATGACAAATCTGAGCTCTCTTTACCGAGTTACCATACATGTCTATTTATACAACTCTAACTATCTAGTCCATGTGCAGCGCCCATGCTGGTACAGTAGCTAGATAACCTGATAGGATTGACTCTGCGCCGGCCATTGCCTGTTCCTACAGTGCTGCAGGTGAGCCGTGTGGCGCCTGCATCTGCAGCGGCTACAGTATCACAGCAGGGGGCAAAGTCGGCGCCGCCTTCCCTTGTTGTGTTCACACACAGGAGACGGCTAAGTCAGCGCCGTCTTCCTCTGCTGTGTTAATACAGTACGAAAGATTCTCCCTGCCGCACGCCATCCGCCGCCTCGACCTCGCTGGCCGCGACCTCACCGACTACCTCATGACCATCCTCAGGGAGCGCGGCTACTCCTTCACTACCACGGCGGAGCCAGAGATCGTCAGGGACGTCAAGGAGAAGCTCGCCTACGTCTGCCTCGACTTCGACGCCGAGCTCGACAGGTTCAGCCGGACCAACGGCACCGACAACACCAAGAGCTACGAGCTCCCCGACGGGCAGGTGATCACCGTGGGCACGGAGCGGTTCCTGTGCCCCGAGGTGCTGTTCCGGCCGTCGCTGGTCGGGATGGAGTCGCCCGGGATCCACGAGACCACCTACAGCTCCATCACCAGGTGCGACGTGGACATCCGCAGGGACCTCTACGGCAACGTCGTTCTCAGCGGCGGCACCACCATGTTCCCTGGCATCGCGGAGCGCATGAGCAGCGAGATCGCCGCGCTCGCGCCGCCCAGCATGAAGGTCAAGGTGGTGGCGCCGCTGGAGAGGAAGTACAGCGTCTGGATCGGCGGCTCCGTCCTCGCCTCGCTCAGCACCTTCCAGCAGGTAATAAGCCCGGCCGCCCTACGCGTTGATTTGATGCATGGATGCGAATGCGACGCAACATTTTAAAGTGGGGCTTAATTTTGTGGATGCATGCATGCAGATGTGGATCTCCAGGGAAGAGTACGACGAGACAGGTACCGGGATCGTGCACCGCAAGTGCTTCTAGCCTTCTAGAAAAAAAAAAACTTTTCTATCTCTATATATTGCTATACGTTTGTTTGCCTGTTTGTTCAAGTTTGTAACCAACAAGTCCTTCAGTTTGTTGCATTGTTTATTTGTCCTCCTTCTACAATCTTTTGATTTGATACTAAAGTGAGAAATTCCCTTAATTTGCAATCGAGATCCCCTTAATTTGCAGGCAATGGTGTTATTATGTTGCGAGAACAGAGTCTTATTGTGGGTGTTTTCCCATATATAATAATGAACTAAAGTGAGAAAAATATTACCAACAGGAAAATTTTAATCAAAGAGTGAAAGCAGCTACATGCAATCCATTGAAAATAACTAGCAAACAAAACATATAGTTTTTTTTTTGGAAAACCAAAACATATAGTTTGGATGATAAAGAAAGAAACTACGCCAACGATTCGACGAACAATAGCATGACACAGCATAATCAAGAACACATGTGTCACTCTTCGATCGGCAGGAGGAGGAGGATGGGCCTGCTGATCACCGTACCGGCGGCGCCACGGTCGCTACTGAGTGCTGCCTCCCTCGTCTCCGTCGTCGTCTTCCTGCATCACATCCAGCATTCTTGCATGGATCTCATCTTTCTTGCCTTGGAGCTCATCAATGTCTTTTTGTATCAAGATCATCGGCCTCCTGTGAGCCGGGGTGAGGAGGGCCTCATTCCTCAGCTGCTCAATCTTCTCGTCTAGTTTTGCCACCTGCAGCCAAATCACAAATTTTAATATTATTACTACTTGTATATATCATAGGGAGGCTACTCGATGTAATTGTCTTGAATTAATAAAAATTTCCTTTTATTTATTGAAAAAAGCAGAGACGATTGTGCCAATATAAAATTATCAAACTAGCAGGACATATGTATACATGTGGACATATAATTGAATTGAATTTAATTTATTACCTTGTTTGCGGGCCATGTGTAGCGGTGGCGCTTGTGTGCCATGCTCTTGCATCTTGCTGCTCCATGGGAGAACTCATGGAGCTGATGATCAGCGGCAGCTTCTGACGACCTGAGGATGACTATCGCAAATGGAGGAGGATCCTTCTTTCCTATCAGACCCACTGCATGCATGCATCAACGTGTACAATACAGTACTTATAGTATATATCTACCATGTGAGGATCGATAAAAAGAGAATGTATGCATATAGTTGAACAGTTGACCACTTACACAGAGGCAGCTCATATGGTTTCCTAGTTTTCAGGTTCGGTGATGCGTTGTTGGGGATGGCGGCGGCCATCTTCTTCTTCCCGGGGGGCGGCAGGTTCAGGTTGATACCACTGCCCGTATACCTGCTAAATGCGATTGACGACGACGACCCCGGCATGTGGTTGGCAGCAGGCGCATGAGTACCGATCGATAGCCGCAGAGGATCAGCCGCCGCAAACATCTTACTGTTACTGCCAGCCAGAGGAGGAGGCAGAGGCATGTTATAACCAGCGCTGGGGACGTTCTCAGAGTCAAAGGTCATCCCCATCGGTTGTGCAGCCACAAGTCCCGTGCTTTGTTCTGCATAAATGAACATGTATGATACATGATACACTAGTTGTTGTTAAGTACTAAGTAGAGAGAGCTAGAAAGGAGCAACAATATAGAGGTTTCGTTTCTACCTACTTATGTAAGAAAATAAAGGCATAATCTATCTTTACACCAAGACAGAAAAAGAATCTTATGCTGACATTATTGTAGAGCAACATTTCTCATTGCAAAAAGTAACTTGGGCCAATCTCGGGAGTTTTATGGCTTTTATAAGACTGTTATGTCGTATAGAATGAAATAAAATATGGATGAAACACACTCTCAACGAGAAGTTTCATTCTCTAGTTTCATATATATTTAATTTCACGACTCATAGAGAGATGATAATTGTGCCAAGACAGTTTCATTTCCATGAAACTCTCTTCTTCTTAAAAAAATATCATATCAACAAAAGCGCTTATGTGGCAAAACTTATTAAATGCAAATGAACTCTGATGAAACTCCCACTGAAACTAGCCTTTGATACACAAAGGCTCACATTGCTGAACAAATTCCGACAATACTCCCTCCATCTAAAAAAAATAGAGTTTCTTCTTAAAAAAATATCATATCAACAAAAGCGCTTATGTGGCAAAACTTATTAAATGCAAATGAACAAATTCGAAACTAATACAAAAACTCCCTCACATTGATGAACAAATTCGAAAAAATAGAATCAGCTAAAAACTAGAATTATGAATCGTCTAGTCTAACTTTCACAACTTTGAATAAGTTTATAAAAAATATGTGCAACATTTATATCTCAAAATAAGTTTATTATGAAAGTATATTCAATGATCTATCTAATAATACTAATTATGTACCATAAATATTAATATTTTGTTAAATATATTTGGTCAAAATTAAAAGTTGCTGACTTTTTGGAAGCGAGAATAACCCTTTTTTGGGACAGAGGGAGTACACGGATAGACCGCTACTGTACTTTTATCTACTTCTGCATTTTTGTCCTCCACAATGATCCTCACTTAAGACTTACGTAAGGAAAAAAAAGAGACAATCTAAAAAAACTCACAAAAGAAATAAAACACATCCGGCCATCAATTTGAACTACAATAATCACAAGAATAGACATTTTAATCAAATTTTATTTATATATTAACTACCTTTGCCATTATAGAAAAATTAACCCAGAGTACTCCTAGTATCAGCTTCAAAGGACATGCCATCACAAACTCAATATCCCATATGTACTTCTCAATTATCCACATATGCCATTACAAAAACTTCTAAATTAAGATAAAGTATCATTGTCTTGCATAATTTATATGTTTTTAACCTAAATGTCAATTAGGAATCTCTTACACAGATACACGCTAAAGTTAGGAAGCCAAACTAAAAACAATGTGTGAACAGTCACAAATATATAAAGACAATAATTTTGCATAAGTTTTTGGTTTAGTAGAGAGCTACAGTACAAAGTATGGTTAGTATACACACATATTGGTCAACTGAAAATCCTGAATATATTTTCTAAAATAATGTTAGACTATATAGACATTCCGGTTAATGAACCAATAGAACCAAAATCAATCAAGGTAGTTAGGAGCCAAAGGCAGTTCTCTAGGTTGTCGTCTCTTCTCTTCAGCCTTGGGAATAACAACATGAGTGTTTGGTTTGGAAGGTACTCCTATTGGTCCATTATATGACTAGGTTTGGTTTGTCCTAAATTTCCTCTATGCTCTTATTAGTAGTCCAATAGTTTGTTGGATCTCTAAAAACTAAATATTAAGAGGAACCAAAAGTATATTTCCCTAACATATTGTATATATATATTCTCAACTTCTCTCCATAAGAATCTTGGGTTGTAAATAACCTTTCTCTATGCTTTGTTGTAGCATATGACAATGCTATCTAACGATGGTTTCTATGACCCACAACCTTTCGATTCTTAAGGGAAGGTTAAACTTAAGGATGTGCCCAAGAAAAGCCACCATTGTATGTGTCAAATGGGTCAAGAATATTTTTTTGCATTAGAAACTGTTGAGTACTTAACGGAGGAGTACCTAAACCCTTGGATTAACACCATTACTATGCGATTAACCTCCGACTGATTGTCATAATCAGCTAGTAGGGGTTCGGGACTACACCCATCGTGCACTCTAGACCACTTCAAAGGCCTATTGGGCCCAAGATGGCCCACTTTGGGGAACATCCAAGCCTATGGGTGATAGGCCTGGAGAGTGGGCCCTCCACCAAGTCACCTCGCCCGAGAGCTCGGAGAAGCTTCATGTGCTCCCAACCTAAGACTCTAGAGCCGACCAAGGGAAAAGATTAGGAGTCACAGACTTCGCTATGTCGCTCGGGCCAAGCTTCCCATCCTGAACGATGTGAGGAATCTTCCTTTAAAGCTGACCGATGCTTTGAGAATGACAAGAGGAGAGCTATATATAGGGGGCAAGATCCTACCTGGGCTCTGTCCCCTTACCTCCACGAGGCGGTGTCAGCCACTTGAGGTTCAGGGTCACGCCTGGGGCACCATGACGCACATGACAAGGACGTGCGTGCAGCCACTACATAGGGAGATACGAGCCCGCCAGTGAGCCTCTCCTTACATGAGCCTGCTCTCCTGACGTGCGACAAATGCCACGAGAAGGACAATTCTAGGTAAGGCACAACAACAACCCTGTCTTCTGATGGTCAGCTCCAGGCTTCTGTAGAGGATGTCAGGGAAGGTTCAACACTGTTAGCTACAGCCATCGACGAGGGACGGCGCCTAGCGCCGCCAACAACCTGAAGATTAGGACACAAAAGCCCTAGCGCTCCCTGGGATGCTGAGGGAGCCTCCAAAACTGGATCTTGTATTCCCCTCGCTATCCAACATATAGGGTAGAGTAGGGGCTCCTGTAGGAGGATCGATCGAACAGATCGACCAAACCATAGATTACTAGCTTAGCGCCCTCCTACCATCTCTCTCTATTGTAAGAACTTGATTGAGCATTCTAACATGAAGAACAACATCTGCTGAACGTAGGGCTTAGACACCCGAACCAAGATAGATCCTTTATATCTTGAGTGCTAAACCACAAGTCACACGCTTCAACCCACCAATCGGATCACTAATCACTATCGTAGAATAGAACCGACGATAGTAACACTAAGGCAAGCACATAAAGTCTTCGAGTCACGTGAAGCCTAGCGATAGCATTGTAGACCTACTCCTCATCGAAACATTCCCCATTGTTTTCTCTACTCATCATAGCTCCCAAAGAGGACATATTTAGGCATGATATAATCTCATAAACATTGTCATTGTTGTCCATCTTCCTATCTCAAGTAAAAATGCAACTCTAATTTGTTTAATGTGAGGTATGGCATGTATACCTATCATAGTTGAAGAAGTACTCAACCATGGTGATGCTGATGTAGTCACTCCTTTTAGCTCCCTTCTACCACATGGTGCCACATGAATAGCACGTGATGGTGCTTTTGCTTGGATTTCGCTGTAATGAAGTTGCAAGTCAAGGTTCAACTCTCCATTTGTTGGTGATGCCATGCCTTGCAAAAACTCGCTATGGGAATGCAACAAGGGCTTCAAAGTAGTGTTGTGTTCACTCTGTTGAGGTGAGTAGGGGTAGCCAAAGATAAACTAAGCAAAACATGTTCTTATACATCTAAATTTGGAATAATGGATTATTTGATCTCCTTGGCTGGCAGATTGTAGAAGATCCCATAAATAGATAACTCATTGATGAGGGCGGTGGCTTGGATCTAGTGCTCAAGAATGAAGATTTCATTGTCATCTAAGCGCTGATCATGTGACTTCGGTAGATCTAAGTAAGGGTGAAGGGAGTAGAGATAGACAAGAGGATCATTTGGTGTAGTTCAGATGATGATGGTGTGTAGGGGGATTTCGGTAGATAATGGGATATGGGGGTACCATTTTTGAGGTATTAGTGCCATGGATAGGTGAGAGCACCATACCATTGGGGTTTTATCATGACAAATTTGACCAACCCCGTACGTATACACTGTAATATAGCTATTTATATATAAATATATTTACATGGTTACCTACCCATTGAAATAGACTTCAAATGGAAAGACAGAGGGGGAGATCTGTATTCCTCCATAACTTGACAGAATTCTATGACTACTTCTAAGGAAAGCTAGTAAGAAAAGTTAGCTCATGCATCTTTAAATCCATAAGTAATGGCATTCCTTTTTTAGTTTGTGTTGGCATACAATAAAAATATGGTATTAAAACATGTTTATATTTTCCATCTTTCTTTACTTTTTTACATGTTGCTAGTAGTTCTTGGATGTCTCCAGTAGTACATTGTAGTAAATTGTAGTAAAATGTCATTTGGAAGATCAAAGGTCGATGCTTGTAACATGTAAACATGCACCAAATGTCTCATTATATACATCCATTTTCAAATGGAAAAATCCTACCACAATATCATGACTTTTGCTTCATGCAACAATTCTAGATGAAACCCCTATATGGTCATTCAACCTTGAGCTTGTGTTGAAGGTCTAAAAGAACCATGACTCCTTGACCAATCTAATTGTCACAATGGAATGAAAGAGGCCTATAGCCCTACAACTTCAAGTATTTCTACCCCAAAAAATGCAATATTAGCCAACAAAAATAATAACATCCCTAAATCTCTATTGCACTGTCTATGACGACATAAAAAATCCACCTCTATCTTCATGTTCGTGTCACAAACTCTCATAGTTGTGGTTGCGAGAAACAAAATCCACATTCACAACATTTTCAAATCAAAATACTTGGAGCACCCTACAAACTTGGTGATCTACAAAAAATTGCCAATTTTTTTTTATAGATGGTATTTTGTTCATATCTTTATATGATGTGAGTTCATATATCCATATATGATGTGCGCATCTGATTCAAGAGGCTAATTATTTTTTCATTAATATTTAAAAAAATAACTTAAAATAAATCTAAACATGGTTAGCCACCCGTCAAGACATTGGTTAGTACATGGATATACAATGCGTATCAAACCATGTGGATAACTATTATTATGTAGTGGAAGAGTGGACGAGCTATGGAGTTACATCCAATTCTAGTGGCCTTGAATCGGTGGGTAGATAAGAGTATTATCTTTTGTTTAACATAAAGTTTGTGTGTTGAATACCATGCAGAGTTGATAATAACATCAGCTTGGTCTAGAGGTGGTATTGGCTAAACCTTATAGTATGTGAAAACAAGCATGAGGAATAAAAATGGTTTCTTTTCATAAACAATTTTCATCTAGTGGCCATGCAAATGGAATATTTTGTTTTCATATGCTTTTTTTTTAAAAAAGATTCGGCAACTCAACGCATATCTCATATCCTAGTTTTTATGAGCCTTCAAGTTTTCAACATTTTTGGCCTATTTTTACCTGATATGCACTAATGTGTTCTTGCCTTGCTCACAAAAGACCAAATAAAAAGAAAGTGATGTCGAACTTGCACTATGCTCTTAGGTTTTGAGAGCAAAAGACCATGTTGGGCTGTAGAAGGTCTAGTGCGCATTTCAAAGTATGCTTCAGAACCTAAAATGGGCCTAATAAAACTGGCCCGTGTTAAAGGAAAAAAATCAGAAAATAACATCCTTCAACTATTAGGTAATTTGCTACAATAATCTATACCTAATAATAAAGAGACAAAATTTCAGCCTATTTTTTGGTTCGGTCATATTTTGGTCTGCCCTCCCACATTGGCACACGTTTTTTTCACGGTTTCTGTTACCGTGCGTCGCTCGGGCTCCGCTCTTCGTCTGTCCGTGTCCGTACAAGAGTCCCAACCAAAGTATCATACGGATGCACATCTATCTCGGGCATACATTCTACTCCCCACACTCCCTTCAAAAATATAAGTCTGTTCGATGCCCCGGGTCGCCGCCGCATCGATGTTCGTCTGTTCATCGCCCTGGGTCGCCGCCGCATCGGACGGGGGCGCACCGACGAGCCGCAGCTCAGCGGGCATGCGCTCCTCGCTGGCGTAGAAGGGATGGATGGCGATGAGGCCATCATGGTTGACGTTGGCGAAAACGGAAGGATCCTGAGCGTAGCGGCGGGCCAAGTGGTGCGCGATGTTGTCGCTGGCATTGTCCCCCGCAACGAAGCAGCGGCGGCATCGACGCTCTTCGGCTCTCCGGTCGCTCTTCCTCTTTTTTAAAATTTCTATATGATGCCTTGGCGTTCTACGACCGTGTCCCATATATGCTAACTCGCATTTGACGATGCTGACATGTCAGCGAATACATGGAGTTTGATTCAAAGGCGTATTAGAACAAATCATGATCGCTGAATAAATCTTCAAACTATAAATTGTTTAATTGACGTCTTGACCATCCAACAAATTATACACCCCGTTGCAGCGCACGGGTATATTTGCTAGTGCTTTTATAAGAGTCAACCCCTCTCCTCTATTCATATAAAAAATACAGAAGACAAGTTTTAGGTAATATAAGAGATTTATGCTCTCTTATATCCTAAATTAATTTTAAGGTTCTTTCCTGAGACAACTTATAGGAGATGTAATATAAGAGATTGATGGAGTTGCTCTTAGGAGGAGAGAGATGTTAAGAAAGTTATATTTTTATGAACATATATACAACTCAGCCTCGTTGTCAAGACTCAAGACTATGAAACCACGTACAAGCTTTTGGTCTATTGCTATACTTTTACCGAGATACGATATGAGGCTCACCGAAACTGGAGGTGAGCACTCCGCACAAAGGGTCAGCGTTACCACCAGCTCGAGCAGATCTGGATTCTAAAGTGGAATCAAGGTTACACACTTACACCGTTTAAAAAAAGGTTACACACTTACACGGCAATCTATTGGACCAAACTAATCTTCTTGGGCGTCCTTGTTGCTGCTCATGTTGGGCCATGGGCGTATTATATTTTCTTATCCCTAAAAGAAACTCCAGAGCCAATCTATCTGTCTATCTATCTATCTGTATCATCTATCCGTATCAATATCTATATCTATATCTATATCTATATCTATATCTATATCTATATCTCTTATAAAGCTAATCCTCACTACAAGTCTATCTCAACATGCAAGCCATCCACATCACCCCCCACTAACTATCCACATCATCTTCTACTAATAGTCATGTCATTCCACTAACTTCCGATTTTATTCCAAATTCTTTGCAATCCCTGGAACAACGTGCGGGGTATCTTCTAGTTTTTTAGATTAAACCAGGGTTCAAAATTTTGGCGAAATTTCGCCAAAATTTCGTGAATTTCGGTGGTTGCCGAAAGAAAATTCCGAAATTTTGTAATACTCTAATACCTGTGTTATATAACTTTAGACTCATATTTTTTATTGTTTATATTGCATATTCTTCTATTCAATAGATGTGTAGTCATAAACATACTAATATTTGTTAAGATCTAAATTTTTAGAAAAAAAACATACTTCATTTGCTAGTCTCTAAAAAAATTTCGGTGAAATTTCGGCCGAATTTCGTGAAATTCGGTAATTTCGGTGGTGGCCAAAATTTTTGCGATACCAAAATAAAAAACCCTAGGTTAAACAGTAAAAAACCAACTCAGTAGAATCCCTATTGAGACACCCAAAAGTAGAAGTCCCTCAAATTTCCTTGAGCTAGGGTCCATAACTTTCTTCTCAATATTTTCCCCTTCGAGCCATACAAACTCTCACCCATGCCCTCCTCACGTGTGCCAATTGTTCCATCGTTGTCCCCAAATTCGACTGTCTTGCACCGCCTCCTCTATCCCCATTTGCCAAAATTGGGCCCAAGACCTCTAAGCCGTTCTCTCTTGACCAAGATCTGCCCTCCCTGCCACCTCTATTGCTGCTCCATACATCCGATAGCCTCCGCTCGAGCTTGACCTCCCCGGTCGCATTGACCGCTATGATGCCCTTCCTCGTCCGCCCAAGATTTACCCCTACTAGACGCCTCCAGTGCTCAAATAGTGTATGATAGTATTAAACTCTTCCTCTAGAAAATGTAATAAACAATACTACCATATATATACTGACAGGGAACCTAACACTTTAGTGTATTTTGGTGGATTGAATGGCAACCCAATTAAAAACAACCCTTTTAGTTTCGTAGAATTACACAAAAGTTTCACACTCTGCTAATCCACTGTGAAGTTTTATTTGTTGTTAAATTTCAAAATTTCCTATTCACCCCCTCTAGGCGACATTAAGGGCCCCTTCATATATAATCCTCTAAATATATATTATACTCCTAGTCCTAGAAGACAATAAAAAGGTACTCGAAGATAAACAAAAAATGAATTTACTATAGAATAAAAAAATGAGTACACACACATGGAAAAAATGAGTAGGATGAGCCATGTACCCTGAGTTTTTGTGCAGTCATGTTGGCTCGGCTGGCAGAACGCAAGCACAACATCATCATCCTCATGTTGCATCCGAGGAGCATCGTCATCGACATCGATGACATCCGTCTCCCTAGGCACGGCAGCTGGGGCGGTGCCACGGGCCATGATGTCATTGACATCCATGTGGCAGTATTCTCGGAAGAAGTCCCGGAATCTTATGGTGTCATCATCATTGGCAGCAGGATCGTCGCCTCCTTGGCTATGGACGCCTTGTTGGACGGCATTCGAGTCGAGGGGAGGAGATCGTGGAGGCTCCATGAATCACCGCGGCGGGGCCGGGGCCGGAGCCGGGGCTGGGTAGGGGTGCACAAGAAAGGGACCGGAGGATCGTCGTCGTAGCAGAATGAGCAGGGAGGGCAAGCGGTCGGCCAGGGCGAGATCTATCTCTCTTGGTCCTGGTCGACTAAAAAGGCAGGCCTCACTGTGGCCGCCGCTTATTGTTCTGGCTGGCATTGATATCACCTATCAATTGCAGGCTTGCAGGTCTGCTGCGGCTGGGGCGGCGTGGCGGCTGGGCTGGGCTGGGAGAGCGTGTGCGGCGTGGCTGATGGAGCAATGCACGCACATCTTTTGGTAACGCTCATGGCCATCTGGTAGACGGGGAGCGCCCAGAGCCTGGACGACAACCATGAATTGGATGCATGCAGATGCAGCTCTTGCCACTCGTCACTCGTCGGGAATTGGACACTAGTGGCCAAGCTAGAACGAATTAGAGGTGGGTACGGTTGCCTTGTGAGTATGAAAATTTTATTGCAACCATGGTGAACAATTCAATTATAGTATTGGTTTCTCATTTTTCTGTAGGTGCATCTGCACCCACAGCCATCAACTTAGCTTGCCACTGCTGGACACTCGGACTTATCACACTATAGCAGCAGGACCGTCCCCACTAATGTTTTCCTAAGGTTGAGCCTTACCATAACGCTACCCTAGTTAAATTTTTTCCTATGGGGAAGACTAATGCTCTTCGCAATAAGATCTCTAGTTTTCAACAATTAGCAGATAAGTCAATTCCCGAGGCTTGGGAACGAATGCAAGAGTATGTCTCTATATGCCCAGACCATGGCATGGAAGACTGGCTTTTGATCCAGAACTTCTACTATGGATTAGTTCCGTTAGACAGGAGCCATTTAGATATTGCTGCTGGTGGAGCATTCTTTTCGCTAAGTGTTGTAGATGCCAAGACACTGATCGAGAAGATGGTTTCCAACCAAGGATGGAGCGACGATTGACTCCAACCCCGTAAACGAGGTATGCATTCAATTAAAGAAGTTGACATGCTTGTAGCTAAGATGGATCCACTCGTGAAGTGAGTAGAACATTATGAGAAGATGAGTGCCCAAGAGACACTCAAGGCCATGGATTCCCACATGACTTGTGAAGTCTGTGGAGATGTTGGACATTCGGGAAATTCTTGTCCCGAGACCCAGGAGGATCTCAACTTTGTCAACACCGACAACGAGTTTCATCCACAAGAATATCAAGGATGGAATCAACGCTCCAACAATCAAGGGGTAACAATTATTACTCTTCTCAATGTTTGAATAATCAAGGTAATAATAGTTATGCTTTCCTTAAAGATCTTATTTATAGCAATGGGCAATGGTAGAACGACTGATAGCATTAATAAAAAGTTGCATGCTCATGACAAGATGTTGGAAAACATAAATGCTAACTTGGATGAGTTTTCTTCTGCCTTAAAGAATCAACTTAGTTTCAATAAGATGATAGAAATCCAATTAGCCCAAATAACTACTGCCATACCATCCTATGAAAAAGATAGAATTCCTAGCAAACCTAAAGGAACTATGGAGACAGCCAACCTTGTTACGGCAAGGTATGGCTATGCTTTAAGCTCTTGGGGTTCCTACTTAGTAGATTCCCCATTTACCATTAAGAAAGGTGATCCTGGAACCCCCATGATTACCTGCTCCATAGGAACCCATACCTTCCATAATGCTTCGTGTGATCTAGGGTCTAGTGTTAACATCATGTCTAAGGAAACTTATGATAGATTTGTAACAGAACCGACCAATTATACGAGATTAAGTAAGAAAATCTTCCGTCGAAGCAGATAATTTAGCAAATTTAAACCCGTATAACCCGGTAGTCCGTGAAACCACGAAGGATTTCAAACCAATCGACATACAAACCAAGATCGTACAAGTTTAGCAAGTACCGTCACACGTTACATAAAGTTCGCAACGATAGTTGATACATCAGAGTTTGGAACATAAAGTTATTACATACCAAGTTCGAACTGAAATAGCGGAAGCAAATAGTTTTAAAGCCACACACACACTTTTGATTTAGATACAGTGCCAGTAGGTAGTCATCTCCAACAAAAGCATCAGATGAGAAATACGGAGTGACCATTTGCCCTTAGTCCTAGTTGTCACCCATCGCCCGGTACAGGCAGTTAATGCAATAGCCATAGTACATTTGACCATCTGCAACAACAATGGGAACAACGCCCTGAGTACGAGAAGGTACTCAGCTAGACTTACCCGTCTTAAACCAAAATAAAATGACACCAAGGATTATGCAAGGCTTTCTTTAGTGGGCTAGCTGACTCTTTTGTGAAAGCATAAGTTATCATGAATAAACCATTTTAAGTACTTTGCATCATCTTTATTATAACCTATCCATCTAGGTAAGCACCTGTACTATAGCAATCACATGATTAACCAATAACATCCAGTTACCAATTTAGCTTAGCATAACTCACATCATCCAGATAACCATCATTGTTCTATAATAATTACTACGATGCCGTAGCTCAAGTTAAGTGCTCACTATCCAGGAGCGATGGCGATTCGAATCGATTCCTAACCAGCTGGTGATTTATTCCTCACACAAACCATGCTTCCCCTGCCATGGTAGCTTATATCACAAATGACACTTTTCAGGTAGCCGCGGGATAATCTGGAGCCGCAGTACCCAGAGACCGCCCGACTGCCAGGAATCAGGTCACACCTGCCCTTGGGCTCACTCTTCGCGCCCCTGTCATACCCCCATCAGCACCAATACGCGCACTCGTGTAGATCCCAGCCCGAATAGTGCCACTAGCTTCGCGGTCGAAAGGTACTTTATTTGGCCAGCTAAATGTGAGGCATGCGTTCAACATGACAAGAGGGACGAGCAACGATCGGTCCTTAATCGACACAGACGGAAACTAACAGCACCCCAGAACCCTGTCTGGTTGCCTCTAACTATTTCGTCCGGTCTCCAATTTTCCATCACATATGGTTAATTCCAGGATATCATTCTTTCCATAGCCAATCTCTTCTAGTAACCACCTATAATGTAGGTGATCGGGTATCACCGATCGCTACCGGTCTAAGCAAGGCTAAGTAGTTATTCGATCCTGACCTAACAGGGTAAAAGGTAATAAGGTAGGCAAGGATAGTAATAAATGCATCAACGGTTTCAATCAACTTCTACAACTTAATGCAACAATATATAAACTCATATATATATAAAGAATTGCTTTTATAAAGTAGAAGACTTAGAATGCTCCGGGGCTTGCCTCGTTCGAACGAACTAGGTTGGTGGTCCACGCACTCTGGCAAGTCCTCTCCTTGCTCCTCTTCCTCTGGCACCTCCTGTGCCTGGACTTCTTGTGGATCTGTCCTGGTCTGCTCTTCCTAAACTGCTACGAGCAACTCCTACGATCCTGTATGATGCAGATGTATAAGTGCTAATGCATAGGTGCATCGGAGAGATGACATGTAATGATCATGATGCATGAAATGTAGATGACCATGTTTAACTGTATCGGGCATAGTAGAGTAAAGCCCTTCTACAAGGTAGCCAACATCATCCAAGAACATGTACTACTATACTACTACTGCAACCACGGTATTAACATGCCAAGTCACCACATCAATCTAAGATGCTTCAAAGATACACCAAAGCCAACATTACTAACTAATCACGCGTTAAAGGAGATTTGTTTATTTCATGTTAAACTAGTGCTATAACAGAAACATATATCTCTAGTGCTTATAAAAATCTGAGAAAATTACAGTAGCATAGTACTATTCTAAGTAGACTACCATAAAATTTTCATTGCATTTAGATAAGTATAACAGTCTACACAAAAATGACAAGCTATGGTAGATAATTGAGCATGAAAATACTTTGTACTACGAAAAGTGTCAAACAACAGATTTGGTATTTTTCCCATGATCTACAGAGCATACAATTTCTGTCCAAAAAGTTTCACCTACATGTATTATTCAAATTTTTAGCCCTAGCAATTTTACAAGAAATCAGCAATTAATACACATAACCTACCTAGCCATATTTTTCCACATAACCTACATGACATATATTTTTCACTGAAAGTACATCTCAAGAATAGACTAACAAATTTGGAATCACATTTTTCTGATACATATAGAATTTACTACACATTTCACAAGATATCAGCAATATCAAGAATTAAATAAAGCTCTACATTAAAGTAGCTCAAAAATGACATGCAATATTTTTATCATGTAGATCTGATGACAAGGAACACAACAAAATTTATTTCAACAAATTTGGAGCCATGTAACTCGAGATATACATTTTACAAGCTTTTTAATCCATTTTTGAAATCATTTTTGAAATCCTTTTAAAAAAACCAGCCGAAGAAAACGCTGGGTGCACCCGGATTTGAACACGCATGTACACACATAGAGACTGACAACGGGCCCGGGGGTCATTGGGACCCCACCGGTCAGCCCCTGAGGCATAGGAGGCCGCGCTGTCCGGCGGGAGCTCGCCGTCGGCGAGGTGACCAGCGACGAGGTCACCACCAACGTGACCACCTTGCCAAGGCGGACACGGTAGCGCAAGTGGCAGGGCCGGAGGAGCTCGAGAACGAGCTGGCCAGTGGCCATGGCGGCGCGGTGGTGCGGCTCACCGTCGGCCGGCCATCTCCGGCCGAGAGGGGGCGCGAGAAGTGGCGTGGGAGCTTCACCGAGCTCGGGCGTTTCTCATGCGTGTGAAACGATAGTGAGACGGAGTACGGAGGGGCGAGGTCCACGGAGCGGAGTGCTTCGGTGAGCTCGGCCACGACTCCGGCGAGGGATTCCCGGGGAAGGGGAGCTTCCCATGGCTTACCAAGGCGAGCACGAGGCGCGCGAGGAGGAGGCAGTGTTCAGGGCGAGATGGAGCGAGCTCAGGTGAACTGGCGTGGCCAGAAAGGCTACGCCGACGATGGCCCGCGGCGGAGCGAGCGCTGCGGCTGCTGCTTGCGTTGGCGGAGG